AAAATAAGAGCAAATTAAAATAAAGTTTGTGTATGTATGCACCAAAGGTTTCTGCGATCCACTATTTTCTAGACACCATTTGTCACCCTTATACATTGCCCACCTGTACCTCTGTCACCTATATCACCCCTTCAGGTGGGGGTTGTGTTCACTGGCAACCATGGCACCAACACAAGTCAGGCACATCTTACTAATAAATAACCTTTTCATTATTTACTTAAGAAACTCATGCAGAAGAACAGTAGCTGTCAAAATGGTGCAAAGAATTGAGGTCATTGTGCTTGCTTTTGACCACCACTGATCACTTTCTGCAAATTTCTTGGGCATTAAAGCATCTTCAACACCACTGCTGAGATCAGATTTGTCCCTGATGCACATGGCTAATTTCTCTAACTCCTCTGCAGTTCTTTCTTCATGTTGAAGAACAGAGCTGTCAAGTTTCTCCAGGTACTGCTTTAGTGTCTGAAAATCTCCTTGTGTTTTGTACTGATTGATTTTCATAACCTCGATGACTGAGTCAATTCTTGATGTAAGGCTTTTTGTCATGTCAGCAATGTTTCCTTGGTGTTGGTTTGGTCCTTGGTTTTGAGTTACCGAAGATTGTCCACTTGCAAAGCTCTTAGCATATACAGGAGGCTGAATATGGATTCCAAACTCCTTGAGAGGATCAGAGGCTGAATTCAGAGTAACAAAGTTCAAGACACTTCCCAATTCTTCAAGCTTTTGTTCCAGTAATTTACTTTGTGTAGAGAAAGATTCCTTAAGCTCACTAGCTTGTGAACCCATTTGATTATCTTGTGCTTTTACTAGATCTGTAAGCTCATCAGTCTTTTGCATTAATGTGATTCCTGTTTCCTTAATGGAGTTTTTGATCTGCTTCAAGCGGATGTAGTTCACTATGGAGGAACCTAGGATTCCTGGAAAAGACAATTGAAAGCAATAATATTTGCATTGATTGGATTTCACACCTTACTTTAGATGACTGCACACAGTCACAAAAAAACAACCCCTCCACTTTGAAGCATTCCTACCATATTGTAATAATATCAGGGGCAGATCTAGGGGGAGGGTGCAGGAGGTCCATGCCCCTCCCTGAGATGACATTTGGCTTTCTAATATAACTGGTATTCTGCAAAAAACCTCAGTTGTGTCATTCCTTAGTGGTGCATCCCCTCCTAAGAAAAATCCTAGATCCACCCCTGGTTGAATATTATGCAAATACGTAAGGTTTGAGGGAATATTTTCAACACAAAAATTAGTGAAATTAATAAATGACCTTTTAGCATTTTGTTTAACCATTTTTTGAAACAATTTGAATGGTTAAACATTTTGCTAGCTCCCCTGATCACCCCTACCAGCCCCCCCCCCCCCACCCCACCTAGTAACTAGCAGGTATGAAATCTAAAATTCTCATGGTTCCACTCTACAGCATGACCATATGCAGCACATGGTCCAAAGATGCTGAAGTAAAAATATCACACCTCCCAAAGAAAATGGGAATTTAAGGCTGAAGTTCTTACCAAGTGCTGCACCACCAACAGAGCCAATCACAGACCAGTGCTTAGTCCTCTCCGCTCTAGCTCTCTCTCTTTCATGAGAATCCCTAACAGCTCCAGACAGAAGCGCAAATTGATCTCTCTCCAAAGCTTCCAAATGTTCATATTCGCTCTTAATCCTTTTCTCTTCAACCAGAATCCGATGCTCCTCTGTCGCTAAAGCTAGATAACGTTCGTCATCACGAGGAATTCGGTCCAATTTACGGCGCACATCTTTTAGCTTCTCCTGAACAGAGCTTAGTGAGGACCTTGCTGATTGGACCTGACCTCGAGTTGTCATGAATTCGTTCTCTGCTTTCTTGACGCTCGTCTGAGCTTCTTGCACATCGGAAATCCCCACTAGATCTTCGAAAGCTTGAACAAAGCCACCAAGCTTCTCATAAGAGTATCGAAGTACGTTTTCACTCTTCACATACATGACATTCGAAGCTCTAGAAAACCACTTTCCCGGGAATTTCTGGTCACGAGATTTTGTTCCGTGAAGCAGGCGGCACCATATTTGCCATTCCTTAGTCCTTGCTCCGTTTTGAAAGCAACAGCTTTTTTGAAGAAGTGCTCTAGTAACTATTATCATTATTATTTTTTGTTTGCGTTAAAATGGTAAAGAAATACTCAGTGTTTTACTTCCCGATAGGTTAGAACGCGCCGGGCCGCCATGTTTGCCCACACTTTCCGAGAGGGGCTTGGGAAAGAAAAGGATAATTTTGGTAGGGCAGGGTGGGAAAGAAAGCTTTTGGAGAAGTTAGCTGAGGTGTTTTTGAGGTCCATGGCTTAGCTTTTAGATTCCTCTGAGGAAAATCGATTCTTTTGCTAAGGTTTTATGTCAACCACTGTGTTAGTAAGCAGGACTTTGAACAGTTGACCCTGTACCGTCACCCTACCCCGATGAGGATCTATGCGAGAGAGCAACCTGGAAACAAATATAGACTCGGAAAATAAATATGGCGATGCAAAGTTTTCGTCGAGCAACGCGGTGTTTCAATTTGTACTATCGTTCTTCGACAAATTGCCACTTCTATGGACTTCACCAAAGAACTTTCAGTCACGTTGGAGTTGTTGGAACTGTTTATAATCGACTGGATTGCCGTCAAGCAAACTTTTCAACCTCTTCAATTAATGGGACGAGATCCGGCGATTCGCGGATTCAAAAATTTCGTAAAGTTATTAACTCATTTGTCTCAGGAAGCAAGCAGTTAGGAAAGGATGTAAAGTTAATGTTTGAGATACAGAGGAAGCTGAAAAATAATGCTTTCAACTGGGACAGTTTAAAAACAGAGGAAATTATCCATTTACATCAGGTAAAAAATATGAGTGCTCTGTAATGTTTAAAACATTTTATTCCCATCGGTCCCCTGGGAGACTCCTGTAAAATGACGGAAATTCCTTCAAGAAAACTGTGTTAGTAATGTAAAAGACCCCTAAGAGCTACCAGAATCCTTTTATTGGATATGGCTGAAGCTCATATTTACCACCGACGGAAACTAGTTCCAAGACATCACTGGCCAGAAAAGAGCCAGCTCCCATATAAGTTAATTAAGGGATAGACAAACCATTTAACTTTTGAGGGAGCGGTTGGCTGATTTAAAAAAAGAATTCTCCAAGCATACTTGTAGGTGAGGTAATGGCAAATTCTGTATACAAGCCAAGTGGTCCATCAGGCTCAAGCTTATCCTAGTTTCCGTAGCATGAAGCAACTAGAAGTATTTCACCTATGAGAGACCCTGGGAACAAGGTTGATCGCGGGCAATGGCAGTCACTGATCGGTCGCAGTGCGATGCTATGAGCCTCACGCCTCACTTTGAATTCGACAAAGCACAACATGACAAATTGTTCGATAAGAGAGGACCCCTCCCTGGTGTTTTCAATTGTCAAATAAGCACATGACCAGACCCAACCAGGGTCTCTCTTCGCTCGCTCCAGGGGGCGGTAAGATGAGAGACCCTGGGAATGAGGTTGTTTCACCTCCACCCTGGATAGGATGCTAGTCCATTGCAGGGTTGTACCCCAGCATTTAATTTGCCAGTACCCATTTATACACCATGGGTGGAGAGAGGCACTATGAGAGTAACATGTCTTGCCCAAGATCACAACACAGTGTCCCTGGCCAAGGCTCAACCCCAGACTGCTCAATTCGGAGAAGAGCGCACTAACCTTGAGGACACTGCACCTCCCTGCAGGCATACTTGTACCACCCATGCAGGGCTAATCATTTAGTGTATTGTTATACCTCCCAACTCAAAAATAAAACAAACTCTAAAAAAATTATTTGCTTGACACTGGTTGCAATCAAATTTGCAGGAGTTTCAAGATGCATGACCTGATAATGTCATTGTGCAACTTTAAAGTTCAAGTTGTTGTTTCCCTAGGGAGTCAGTGAGTTTTGTATTTCTGAGAGAGTTAGTGAGTTTGAGCCCATGACATTTGACACATTCCCCTCCAATCGGAAAACATATTTGCATTGGGAGGCACAACAAAAGAGATTATTACCCCCAGGTGCTGAAATATGTTGTAGTATTCTGTGAATATTAGTCTCAAACATTGACATCCTAAGGGGTTGGAACATCTGATAATCCTAAAGAGTTAGGCTAAATGAATATTTAAAATTAATACCCTATGCTGTAACGAAAATCCTGTCCATGTTACAAGCCCTAATCCCCTGACTCTAGTGTTACTTTCTATGGAAACACGACTTGATAAGATAATGATATAGTATAGAAACTAAGAAATGAGTTCTAGTATAGGGTTGATTTTGAACCCCCCCTCTGCTCTGATTAATTTCCATGACCTTCCTTGGGAATAGAATGTGAGGCCTGGAACCACAGTGAG